CTTAGAATCACCGCACACTTCACTCATTTGGGCAGTCACGGGGCCAAAACCAGAGTGTGGAGCCACAGTGTGGCGGTGGAGGCAGCAGCAATGGGAGGCCATACAGCACCCTATGACAAAATGGAACCCACCAGCAGTGTGAGGAGACCTGAAAGTGGCACATGGCAGAGTGTGGCGATGGAGACAGCAGCAATGGGAGGCCGTACAGGGACCCATGACACACTCTGGACCTGGCAGCAGCATGAGGAGGCGGTACAGGGGCCCATGACAGATTACGGGCCTGGCAGCAGCAGTGGGCGGGCGGTGGATGCAGCAGTATTCGGAAGCCAAACACAGGCCTCGGTTAAAAAGAGGAAGCCGTCAGCAGCGTGAGCAGACGACAGAGGCACATGGCGCAGGGTGGCGGTGGAGGCAGCAGTATTCGGAAGCCATACACAGGCCTAGGTTAAAAAAGCGGAAGCCATCAGCAGCGTGAGCAGACAACAGAGACACATGGCGCAGGGTGGCGGTGGATGCAGCAGTATTCGGAAGCCAAACACAGGCCTCGGTTCAAAAAAAGCGGAAGCCGTCAGCAGCGTGAGCAGACGACAGAGGCACATGGCGCAGGGTGGCGGTGGAGGCAGCAGCAATGGAAGGCCATACAGCACCCTATCACAAAATGGAACCCACCAACAGTGTAAGGAGACCTGAAAGTGGCACATGGCGCAGGGTGGCGGTGGAGGCAGCAGTATTCGGAAGACATACACAGGACTAGGTTAAAAAGCGAAGCCGTCAGCAGCGTGAGCAGACGACAGAGGCACATGGGGCAGGGTGGCGGTGGGATGCAGCAGTATTCGGAAGCCAAACACAGGCCTCGGTTTAAAAAGCGGAAGCCGTCAGCAGCGAGAGCAGACGACATGGCACATGGCGCAGGGTGGCGGTGGAGGCAGCAGCAATGGGAGGCCATACAGCACCCTATGACAAAATGGAACCCTCCAGCAGTGTGAGGAGACCTGAAAGTGGCACATGGCAGAGTGTGGCGATGGAGACAGCAGCAATGGGAGGCCGTACAGGGACCCATGACACACTCTGGACCTGGCAGCAGCATGAGGAGCGCGGTACAGGGGCCCATGACAGATTACGGGCCTGCAGCGCAGCATGAGGAGTCGGTACGGGGGCCCATGGCAGATTACGGGCCTGGCAGCAGCATGAGGATGGCGGTACAGGGGCCCATGGCGCAAGTGGCGGAGCGTAAGCAGCTAAAATTGAAGGCCATACAGAGGCCTATGTTAAAAAGTCCCCCCAGCAGCAGCGTGGGGAGACGACTAATAGTCGTCTCTCCACGCTGCTGCTGGGGGGACTTTTTAACATAGGCCTCTGTATGGCCTTCAATTTAAGCTGCTTACGCTTCGCCACTCTGCCATGGGCCCCTGTACCGCCTCCTCTTGCTGCTGCCAGGTCCAGAGTGTGTCATGGGTCCTTGTACGGGCCTCCCATTGCTGCTGACTTCATCGCAGACTCTGCCATGTGCCACTTTCAGGTCTCCTTTACACTGTTGGTGGGTTCCATTTTGTGATGGGTGCTGTAATGGCCTTCCATTGCTGCTGCCTCCACCGCCACCCTGCGCCATGTGCCTCTGTCGCTTTCTACTGCTCATGCTGCTGACGGCTTCCGCTTTTTAACCGAGGCCTGTGTTTGGCTTCCGAATACTGCTGCATCCACCGCCACCCTGCGCCATGTGTCTCTGTCGTCTGCTCACGCTGCTGACGGCTTCCGCTTTTTAACCAGGCCTTGTGTATGGCTTCAGAATAATGCTGCCTACACCGCCACCCTGCGCCATGTGCTCTCTGTCGTCTGCTCACACGCTGCTGCCCCAGGATCCATACTGATTCATGGCCCCCTGTACCGGCTCCTCATGAACGTGGTTCAGCGGGTTTGCATCACTTAACGGCAAATCGTTGACAAACGCTGGGAGTTCAGTGTTGTGCGCATTAAGCCAGACACCAAAGGGCAGCACAGGACCAGATTAACTCGCTCAAGCATGGCTGAACAAAACCAGTCTCTACACACAAAATTGGACCCAGGACCTGCCAGGGTCTCGTAAGTAGATTGCACGGAGGAGTAGAGTTCGTTATTGGAATTAACTGTGAGGGACTTTTAAACTAGGCCTGTGGTATGGCCTTCAATTGGAAGCTGCTTCTGCTCCGCCACTCTGCCATTGGACTCTTGATAGTCGTGGTCCTCCGCGGAGTTACAATACCTCATGCCGCACTAAACAGACGCGCTCCGATGCCACGCTACTGGCCGGGCATGACAGCCTTTCAAGGGCAAATTCAGCTAGTTGGGGCCAAAGGTCAAGTTTTTTTGCCCAGTAGTCAAGGGGATTGTCTACCTCGGTTGGCAGGGTGCTGTCCAAGTAGGCCCGAGCCTGTTGTTTGAGGTCCTGCTCCAGGTCCCCACCTGATGCTGCTGCTGCTGCGGCTGGTTAGTAGTTTCCTCACTGCGCTGGTGAAGAAAGCTACTCATCAATCAACTGCAGACTGAGGCAGCCGCTGCTGGTGGAGCTGCCACTGCTCCTACCACCCCACCCTCCCCTGCTGCCATGGCAGCGGAACGCGAGCGCACAGGGCCCACAGTGTCTGAGGATGGACGTTGGCGCAGAAAGGCAGAGACCAACTGACTACATAGGTGGTTTTTATAGTACGTTATTTTGGCCTCCCTCTCAGCAGTGTGTGAAAAAGGCCACCATTTTTGAACGGTAGCGAGGGTCCAACAAGGTGGACAGCCAAAAGTTCATTCCCTCTGTCTGATGGTTATTATTCGGCTGTCGCTACGCAAGCAACCGAGCATGCTATGGGCCATTTGTGCCAAGGAATGCGAGGGACTCCCTGCCTCCATCTCCACAGCATACTGCCACGGTGCGTCTGGGGTCCTCTGTCTTCTCCTCCTCCTCTACCAGATGCTCCTGCTCCTCCACTCCTGTCCGCTGAGTGGAAAAACCATCCATTTCACTCAATAATTCCTGAGCACCAATGTCCTCCTCTACCTCCTCCTCTTCTTCCTGTCCTGCCCCCACAGGGGTCATGTGGCGTTGAGATCTGTGCGCCACGTCTCCCGCACCCTGACCAGCCATTGTTAACAGCATTTGTTCCAGGACGTGCAACAGAGGAATGATAACGTCGTTCATCCCATAGTCCCTGCCGACTCACGAATAGCGTGGCCTCCTCAAAGGGCCTGAGCAAGCGGCAGGTGTCACGCATGAGCTGCCAATGGCTGACATCGAAGTTACACAGGGAGTACCTTTATCCGCTTGTAACATCAGGAAATCGGTGATGGCCTTTCGCTGTTCGTAAAGGCGGTCTAACATATGTAGGGTTGAATTCACACCCTTGTTGCAACGTGGCAGATCAGGCGATGCTGTGGAATTCCATTCTGCCGCTGCAAGCTCAAGGAGGGTGTGCTTTGCGGTGTAGGAATGGCTGAAATGCATGCAAAGTTTACGTGACATTTTAAGGATGTCTTGCAGTGGGATGGTGGATTTTAGGAACCGCTTGACAACCAGAATTGAACACGTGAGCCATGCATGGCGCATGGCACAACCTTCCTTGACGCAGAGCAGACACCATGTTTCTTTCCGTTGTCGGTCAACATGGTTCCGATTTTCAGTTTGCGCGGAGACAGCCATCTGTCGATTTCTCTGTTTCATTACACTGAGAAGTTCCTCCCCTGTGTGACTAAACGTTCGCCAAGGCATACCAGGTGCAGCACAGCGTGACACCGTTGCGCCCTGCACATGTGATATGCCGGTCGGGGGTAATGGGACTTGGCACGGGGGTGGCGGCTGAGGACACGGCGGAAGAAGAGGTGGTAGAGGCGGACATCTTTGCTGGACCAAGGACGTGCAAACGTGGAGGCAAAAGCGGCGTGACCTGTCCAAGTTGCTGGTGCGGCTGTGACGGCACCACGTTCACTCCACCAGTGGGCCGTAAATGACATGTACTGTCCCTGACTGTAGTTACAGCTCCACACGTCGGCGCTGCCGTGCACTTTGGCAGAGACCGACATGCTCAAAGACTGGCCCACCATCTCTTCTACATGTGAATGCAGGGCTGGCACTGCCCTTTTTGGCGAAGAAATGACGGCTTGGCACTCTCCACCGCGGCGTCCGGCACAAGCCATCATTTCTCGGAAAGGTGCTGAGTCCACACCACTTGGAAAGGGAGGGACTGCAGCACCAGCAACTTGGACAGGAGGACGTCAGCTTCTCTGCCACCGTCGGGTGCGTGCTCGCAAACTGTATGTCTCTTGGAAACGGATTCCAAGAAAGACTGCTGACGGAATCCGTGAAGAGGAGTAGCAGGAGAAGGAGCATCTGAACGAGCGGAAGATGCCAACGAGCGACAACTCCCCTCAGCAGAGGTGTTGGAGCCTTGACTGGCTGATATAGGGCGATTGAACGTCGGGTGACGGAGCAAGTAACGGAGCGGGTGATGGAGCGGGGGCTGGGGCAGGCAGAACCGCCGTATCTTTATCACGGTTTTTCCCCAGGCCACCGAATGGCGACACTGCATATGCTGACGCAACGCTGTAGCCCCAACATGGGCCCCCTGGCCACGCTTGACTTTTCTGGCCACATAGTCGACATACGGCTACGTTTACTTCCTCGGGCGGCTTGACGAAAAATTGCCACACCCCCGAGTAGGAAACTTTGCCCCCGCTACTCCTCACTGGCTGACTGCTACTTCCTCCGTGCACACCTGGCACCACTACTGGCCGTGGTGGTAGGCTGCAGTGGAGCTGGTGCTCTACTCCGTGGCCGTTTGCCTCCACTGACACACTGCTGCGACCCTGCTGCCCTCCTGGGCAAACCCACCGACTGTTTTGCTCGCTGGCAAGCTGGCACCCTCTTCTCCTGATGATGCGGAAGCAATAGCCTGATGACGACGAGGCTGCCAAGTGTGATCAGCCTCATCATCATCAATTAGGGTCTCCGCGTCACTACTAGCCCCCTCGGCTGCGTGTGGGTCAGGAGACAGACCTGTCTCTAGAACGGCTACCGAGCCACTCTCCCTCGCCAGTACTTCTTCGCCTGGCTGGCTGAAGAGGCGGATGTCTCTCCCGTTCCTGACCGCCCTCTGTTAGCTCTTTCCTCACTGTACAGTGGGGGGCTGAGCCCACAGCATGCGATACTTCGCTTGGTGAGGGAACACCAAAGGACAGGGGCAGGTAGAGGACACGTGATTTACAGGGGCTTGCTCCCGGGCCATGCCAACTAACGGTTGTGTCTGACGTACCACCGACCATTGGCTGTAGGTGTCAGAGGTGACCTGGGAAGAGGAAGATGACCGAGTCAACCAATCGATGACAGCAGGGTTGTCGGTGGAGACACGACCGCTGGATGACACCGGGAGCACTGGCCTCTGCTGCGACTAGTGCTGCCTCGACCCCTTCCTCTGCTGCCCACGTCTGCTCGCTCCTGAAACATTGCCTCCTCTGCCACTCCTCTGCGTGTTGTCTGACATACTCTTTAATTCAATAAGCACCCCAAACATAAAACAGGATTTAACTCTTTGAACGTACAAAAGTGGTTGTGAAGCAGAAAGTAACGATTCTGTGTCCCTGAGTAACAATTCTGTGTCCCTGAGTAACGATTCTGTGTCCCTGAGTAACGATTCTGTGTCCCTCAGTAACAAATTCTGTGTCCCTCAGTAACAATTCTGTGTCCCTGAGTAACGATTCTGTGTCCCTGAGTAACAATTCTGTGTCCCTGAGTAACGATTCTGTGTCCCTCAGTAACAATTCTGTGTCCCTCAGTAACAATTCTGTGTCCCTGAGTAACAATCTGTGTCCCTCAGTAACAATTCTGTGTCCCTGAGTAACGATTCTGTGTCCCTGAGTAACAATTCTGTGTCCCTGAGTAACGATTTCTGTGTCCCTGAGTAACGATTCTGTGTCCCTGAGTAACATTCTGTGTCCCTGAGTAACGATTCTGTGTCTGTCGCTGAGTAACGATTCTGTGTCCCTGAGTAACAATTCTGTGTCCCTGAGTAACGATTCTGTGTCCCTGAGTAACAATTCTGTGTCCCTGAGTAACGATTCTGTGTCCCTGAGTAACAATTCTGTGTCTGTCCCTGAGTAACGATTCTGTGTCCCTGAGTAACAATTCTGTGTCCCTGAGTAACGAGTCTATGTCCCTGAGTAACGATTCTGTGGTCCCTGAGTAACAATTCTGTGTCCCTGAGTAACAATTCTGTGTCCCTGAGTAACGATTCTGTGTCCCTCAGTAACAATTCTGTGTCCCTGTGTAACAATTCTGTGTCCCTGAGTAACAATTCTGTGTCCCTGAGTAACGAACCTGTGTCCCTGAGTAACAATTCTGTGTCCCTGAGTAACGATTCTGTGTCCCTGAGTAACAATTCTGTGTCCCTGAGTAACGATTCTGTGTCTGTCCCTGAGTAACGATTCTGTGTCCCTGAGTAACAATTCTGTGTCCCTGAGTAACAATTCTGTGTCCCTGAGTAACGATTCTGTGTCCCTGAGTAACGATTCTGTGGCCCTAAAGTCTCTGTGGCCCTAACTCTGTCCTAATACAGACAGGTCTGTCTCTCTTGAATGACCGGAGGCTAATGGAGAATTCTAAGATGGCCGCGATTTATAGCTCCACCATTACACAGTGCTGGCTGGCTGGCTGCTGATTGGCTAATGCGATCACATGTCATGAATGAATGCATTATGGGTCAGCGCGCCTTGTCTGCGCGCCTTCCCAGAGATCCCCGCTCCGTCGCCACACATGTCGCCGCCATTTTTGGGAAAATTCGATTCGTGCATCCGAAGTTTGCTAATTTTCGGATTCGGCGCGAATCGAATTTTTCCTAATCTTCGAAACGAATTCCACTTCGTCATGTTCGATTCGCTCATCTCTAGTGTAGAACTTAGCATAATTAAAGATGTTTAAAGGAAATTGAGTAAAAGTAAACCTGTTCTTTTGTTAAAACCCAGCTCCATCCAAAACCTTTATTTCATTTTGATCTAGAGCAGGGAAGGGTGGTGCTTGTTTTTATTATTTTTTATAATTATTTTTATTAACAATTGAAAGTATTATTTTATTTGTTTTTATTAATTTATGTTCATACTGAATTGACCGCTACTCATGACAGGACAAGAAGCAGTAGGACATTTCTCCAATAGGGACCCAGACAAAAACAAAAAAAAATAATTTGTATCGGTATGAGAAAGGATTTGATATTCTTACAATGTTTACTGTTGTTGCATGTCTTCCTTTTCTGGTGATGATTGCTCCACCTATTTCCTGTTGAGATCTCATAGGCACACGAATGGACATAAATCCCCCAATGGGGTCAAAGACAGAGATTTAAACCAGATGGAAACCTTACCTCTGTCACTTATTTTAAAAAAATACTGGCATTAGGTTATGCACTAAACTGCTAATGGAACAGAATGGGAAGCACTTAGAAGTGCAAGCACATATCTGTTAGAAATCTTCAAAAGCACTCCGGGAGCTCTGAAAGCTGGAGGCCAATTTCATGTGAATCCTCATTTCTTCTTCTGAACCTAAACTCTAGCCTGTCTCCCCAAACTTTATCGCGATGGGACTAAGGTGGGTATTGAGGGGGGCTGGGGAGCTGCTGCATACAAAAGGTTTTCTTTTAACCTTCATGCATCCTATGCCTTGAGCCTTTACAACCATTTTAAAGAATAAATTCACCTTTGGAACATGTTACCCGTTTTTAGGGTGGAACATGTAACATGTTCCCATAGCCACAGTCATGCCCGTCGCCTCCCCTCCCTCTGACAGATGAAGTTTATCTGTCAGATTCAAAAACAGCTCCGCCCCACACGAACGTACCACTCATTCACAAAGTTCTGTGAATTAGTGCCTACAAGTCCCTTAGTGGCTGTCGGCTTGTAGTTTTCAATGAACCACCACAGTGCTGTGGAGCGCCGTGGTAGTTAATTCAAGCTTCCTGTCAGCATATCTGCTTGGTCGTACATCCCATATGGCAAGCAGATATTCTGACACCTCTGCAGGAACTTTGCATGGCATCAGCGATCTATTGATTGCTGGTGCAATGCTAGAGGCTCCTTTGGGCAAAAATATTCAATGCACAGTTTTTTACCTGCAAAAAAATATGTATTTATTATTTTTGTCCAAAAGGTGAACTTATCCTTTAAGATAAATATTATCAATAAGCTGTAATATACAGTTTAGTACACACATTTTCTTTTCTATATTGATGGTGATTAGAAATCTACTCCCACATTTGTACACATTTTAAAGCACCAGCCTCTGTGGAATAATATGAAATCATCCGGTCATGTTTGACCATAGACAAGGGGTGGGGAACTCCCCACAGTCTACCTCTGTTTTAAATGGTCCATCTATTGTCAGCCAAAAGATCTTGGAGATGTTACAAACCAGAAAACTGGAAGCAAAGTACTCTTTTTGCTGAGCATAATTCACGGATATGCAAAAATTAGAAATGCACAAAAAGATGTAAGTATTAAGAGAATATCCTTTACCAAACATTGTTCTTTGAATATTCTTAATAAATGTAAGTCTCCTCAACAAATTACACTTATATTTTAACCATCCACTTTGTTAGCCAAAGTTATATAAGTATATAAGTGTCTTTCATGTGCCTATGTATTTTTGTGTACCACTGGCAAAGTATAGCATTATGTAGCCCTTTGCTCTTCAAGGCATTGGGGCCAAAACTAACTATTCATTATTATGAAAAAATATTTTGGCAAGCTAAATTCAAAGCAAATCAGTTATTTGCAAGTTTTTAAAAACATCCGGTGGGTGTTTTTTAAGCAATTTAAGTTGTGCTATGAAGCTTGGGCACATATGGCAAAGTGGAAATATTTCCAATTTTACAGGAAAACAGAGAAAGTAGAGCTGGTAACAATTACACACACTCGTGGATGGTCTCTTCCTATCTCGATATAGCACTATGCCTCATTGAACTAATTAACGGAAAGCTTCAATGACATGTGTTTATATTATTTTTTACCAGGAAGCCATACATTAAATAGGCACTCATTTTCAAGCATGTCCTTGATATTCTTGAATTACAATTCATTAAGCTGTATATAATTTCAGCCTACACTCACATTTAATCAGTTCGTTTACTTACTACAATGAATAGAAGGCATTTATCAAAACAGTATGCTGAATGAACATTAATTCATGCCTTACATTTATTGCAATATCATCTTAAAAGTGCTGAGGTCAAATCCAATTGGTTAAAGCATATATTTAAACCCAAACACATACAGTAAATATATTGCAGCTAACCAATTATTAAAGTGGAATTCCAGTCACATTTGATATAACCCTACTAGAAAACTGACATTCAGCTGAAGAGATGTAACAGACTTCTGGCTACTATAGCAGCCAGGAATCAGTTTACAGGTCTGTGCTACCATAAAGTAATACTTAAATCTGTGTCAGCTAAAGTGTTTTTGATTTATAAATTCCAGTATCATCTATCAGTAGTGACAATAAATCAGTAGTGGGATATTTCTGTTGCACTGTCCAGTGAGTGTATTTGAAGCATTAATACATTTGACAATAGTGATGGGCCAAACACCCCTATGTTTGGTTCGCGGCTGAACATTCGAACCTAACGGAAGTTTGACCGCGAACTTCGAACAGAGGGGACAATTCATTAAGCAGTAAGATACCGCACAGATACTAAACACATTCTTTAATGTTTCAGCTGTCAGTGGGGTTCCTGCTGAATGTAAAAAGAATTGATGAATGTAAACAAACATGGGGTGTCGGTCCCCCCCAAAAACCATACCAGACCCTTATCCGAGCATACAGCCCTGCAGGTCAGGAAAGGGGGGGCAAACAGGCTTCCCCCAAAGCAACTTGTCCCCATGTTGATGGGGACAAGGGCCTCTTCCCCACAACCGTGGCAGGTGGTTGTGGGGGTCTGAGGGCAGGGGGGCTTATCAGAATCTGGAAGCCCCCTTTAACAAGGGGGCCTCCAAATCCCGGCCCTCCCATGTGAATGATTATGGGGTACAAAAAACGACAGTAGACAGTCCTTGACAGTCTGTTTTTATTAAAAACAAAAATTGAAAAATGTCCCCTGAAGTAGACCCAACATCAATCATGATGCCCACTGCCTGAAAAAAGCCAAAAAAACACTCCACTCTTGACGCTGGTTCCCACCTTCTTACAGCTGCACAGGGATGACAGCTCTTAAATACTGTGATGATGTCACAAGGGGGCAGGGTCATCCACACCCCCTTGTAACGTCATCATAGGCTGTGATTGTCCAAAGCATTGTGCCTGACCAGTGGTCATGCGCATTGCTTTGGCCAATCACAATGCACTGTCAGGGCGTAGTGCACAGGGGGATGTGGTGGGCGAATAACGCCCTTACCCCTCGTATGTTCACCAAACAACGGCCGATGTTCGAGTCGAACCTATGTTCGAATCGCACATCATTCCCAGCACTATTTGACACAAAATAGGTGACTTATTCTTTTTTTTTATTTATTATCTCTTTTATTATTCATTTTCCTTTATATACACCCTGTTCCAAATTATTATGCAAATTCTATTTAAGTGTCACAAAGATTAAATATTTTGTTTTTCAGTTTAACTCATGGATGGCATTGTGTCTCAGGGCTCTTTTGATCACTGAAAACAATCTCGGACACCTGTGATAATTAGATTGGCCGGTGAGCCCAATTTAAAGAAAAACTACTAAAGGACGGTGTTCCACATTAATAAGCAGAGCGCCATTTTCAAGCAATATGGGGAAGAAAAAGGATCTCTCTGCTGCCGAAAAGAGTGAAATAGTTCAATGCCTTGGACGAGGTATGAAAACATTAGATATTTCACAAAAACTTAAGCGTGATCATCACACTATTAAGAGATTTGTGGCTGATTCAGAGCACAGATGGGTTCATGCAGATAAAGGCACTGTCAGGAATGGATTCAGCACTGGTGGTGGGACTCTCCTGCCGTGTGGGCTGCAGTACCAGAGCTGACCAGCGGGTGCTCTCAGCACTGGTGGTGGGACTCTCCTGCCGTGTGGGCTGCAGTACCAGAGCTGACCAGCGGGTGCTCTCAGCACTGGTGGTGGGACTCTCCTGTCGTGTAGGCTGCAGTACCAGAGCTGACCAGCGGGTGCTCTTAGCAGCCAGAAGCTCACAATCAGCCAAACCTGGGGCTGATTACAGAAAGGTGTATATAAGGCATGACCAGGCCTGTGCTCGGGGCCTTGGTGTATGTTTCCCCATGTGCCCCTGTATCCTGTTCCTAGTTCCTGTGAGAAGATACCTTGTTGCCGACCCTGCCTGATCCTGATTCCTGTTGACCGTCTCCTGTTCTGACTACTGGCTCATCCCTGACCATCCTTCTGCCTGATCCTCTGTACTGCGCTGTCCGTGA